AAGTAACCACACATCTTTATATATTAAAGGAATAGCCACTTGAAGCAAACTTTAAGATTTTTATATATTTTTGCTAATGATCATCAGACAACTCCTTTAGTCCAAATGAAGTTCAATGAAGTGGATGTAAGTTATTGGAATGCATCGTAATTACCTTCAACAATGAGAAAACCTATACCGTGCAGTCAGCTTCAAAAGTCCCGACATGGAAAATATATAACAATTCACTAGAGAAAACGAAGTGTCTACAATAACAAAGCAATTTACGAAAATTCAAATATGACGGACATGAACCAACAGCAACCACTGAATTACAGGCTCCTGACTTGAGACGGGCACATAAAGAATGTGACAATGTTAAATATTTTTAGGCGCTCATCACCACCACTAGCATGGGACATTGGTGTAACGACATAACATAAAAACAAACTTTAAACATAATTTGAAAATAGTTCATTTCGGTTTAATCAGGCTGACTGTACATGAAATATTTGCCATTGACAAGCAGTTGTGAATCGAAGTTGAATTTACAGAAAGGTGACATCAATATATGCTATCATATTTAACATTCTTGTTTAGATCTGACATTGCTACGTATTTATACATTCTGCATTATTTTTGGCTTCTCAGAATTTTCACATGGTAAACTGTCAGCAGTTACCCAACAAAAAAATGTTATAGGGAACCTATTTACAAAGCATCATGCCGACAACAATTAACATGGTTACCAAACATTGAACAAGCACATTTATACTTGCTGTGGCTAAAAAAACTAAAGCAAATCACAACTCTTTTCATCTGAGTTGCTCAATTATTAGGGTTACAAAAAGCATAGCGATATAACTAAAACATACGACACTTTGACAATAGACAATATTCAAATTTTTAAAAACTTTACGGCTCTGTATTGAAGCACAAAATTTCTTGTCTGGGATTTTGAAAGAGGACACATATTTCTGGTGTTGAAAAAATGTCATCGTAATTTACACTAATGTGGTTCTATTTATGTTAACATAGAGATAATTTGATTATTCAGTCACGTAATTTTGAAGCTTCTTCGTTCTGATTTACATGTACTTGCGGTTGATGCTTCTTTTGGAGTTTTTGCAGTCTTTGCAGCAGGGACGTATAGTCATCCTCAGATTCAATATCTGATGCAGTATATTCACCACGTAAAAGATCAAGATTGAGATCACTATCATCCCAAGATAAAAAATCAATTTTACTGGACATTGTGAATTGAAAAATGAAAATGCCGGCGATATTTTGGGAACAAATATATAATTTGTAGGGCTTATGTTTGCTTTATGTATCCATTGCAGTTATAACCTCTTTGCTGATCTGTTACGTAAGGAAATTACTCATTTACCTTTAATAAAAATTTTTCTCTCTTCTGTGATCGCCGCTTATTACATTGTTTGCAAAAACTTGACCTAATTATCAGACGGAAATTTAAAAAAAGTGGGGAGGGGGGGGGGGGTTGAAACTTGTTTGAAAAAAAAAATTTACGTTGGATAATGTGAATGAGGGTCTGGATGGGGGTTCTTTATTTCCTATAATTTCTATGCATTTTCTCTATTCTTTAAATCTTAATAACTTATTATTTTCTCTTCTCTATTCTTTATTTGTCGGTCCATTTTTCTCCATTCTATACTTTTTTTGCCCCTATTTCTCCATTCTATAAAACCCCATCCACACCCTCCTGAATCCTACCACAAGTGCACCGACGATATTTGACAAGGTTTACTACAATAAACATGTATATTGGGCACTCAGCAGTGAAATACCTTACAAGTATAGAATAAAAGTTTACTGCAATAAACGGAGCCTCGTGTACCTTGGGCACCCAGCTGTGAAACAAAATTAATCTGCCATGCTTTTGAGACTACCTGTCTTTACAGGTAAAATATTTGTATATTAGATACAATTAACGGACGTGTAGCAAAACAATGTAACTGTAAGATTGATAAGATTAATCACATTCACATCTTCAAGAGTGGCCGCATAATAACAAACTATTAACAAATTATTAATGATCAAAAACAAAAATTTAAATATGAATAGAGATAACTGCATTTGAAAGATAAAAACTATATTCTTTTTTTTTTTTTTGATTAATTCAATTTTGTTTTTAAATTATTTTTAAAAGAAAAATAATAATATCCGATACTGTTATAGTATTCTCAGTGATAGGTGATATATGTCGTCTGCTACGTTCGAATACGAAACTACGTTAAAATAACGTAGCTAACTACCGGAGACTCAGATAATCCGATAAATCTATAGTGACCAATCTCTGTGTTATAGTAGTCTCAGATATACCATATATCAAATCAATATCTTTAAGCATGACAAAAACAACCGTGAAATTGGGGACAAAACTCTAATTTGGCATGAAAATTAGAAAGATCATATCATAGGGAACATGTGTACTAAGTGTCAAGTTGATTGGACTTCAACTTCATCAAAAACTACCTTGACCAAAAACTTTAACCTGAAGCTGTACAGACGGACGGACGAACGGACGGACGGACGAACGAACGGACGCAAAGACCGAAAAACATAATGACCCTAGGTGGGGCATAAAAAGTGCGGAAAACTGATTACTTGCGTGAATTTTCTAAGTCCAAGGACCATAACTCCGCACAAAATCATCAGACCGGAACAAAATTCGAATTTGATCAGTAACTAGTCATGATTAAACTATATACCAAATATCAAATCAATATCTTTAAGCATGACCAAAAAAAAAGTGCGAAAAACTGAAGTTGCGTGAATTTTCTAAGTACAAGGACCATAACTCCGCACAAATTAATCAGACCGGAACAAAATTCAAAACTATGTACCAAATATCAAATCATTATCTTCATGCACGAAGAAAAAAAGTGTGGAGAACAGATTTGCCGGATAGATAGACAGACAGACAGACAGACATAGTCCAAGTAATTTCAATGACTTTGAAGAAAACCCATAGCAGAAGTTTTACTTAAAAATTTTAAGTGGTAGACACTCGAAAGATCCTTAAGTATTGCTGACACATAATGTTTTATTCAAAGCTGTTTTCCAATCTTCAAGGAGTCTCAGAAGAGTTATCGGACTTCCGGAACATTTCATAAATCGATATACAAGAAAATGAAATATATTTTCAAAACATTTAGTTAACTACTCAGATCAATCTGATTTAAATTCAGATCTATCGTATCTCGTAACTATTTCATAAAACTTTTGAAATTATTGGTTTAATTCTCACGGGCCTGCAAGTCTTGTTATCAAGTGGGTAGTTCTTTCATGTAATGGTACACCATACCCTTCTTTAAATCTGTTTAGAAATTCATTTGATTAATTCTATTGTGTTATTTGTACACGTTATATGTAATAAGTGTTGTGCTAGTCTCTGGCTAAATGTTAAGTACTGATGCTCCATCTCGTAATAGCTTAAATGATATTTTATCTATTCTCATGCAGCGGGTTAGATCGATATTTTTCACCAGTATGTCTACAGTGTCAACATGTTTAGGTTTAAAATCAATAATATTAAGTGTATCGTGTTGTGTATTAGCTTAAATTTTCAAAATACTAAAGTGACTGTTTTCTTTAAAAAGGTACCGTTGTCTATGTCACTGACAACATTTACTAAACATGTGTTAAAGTAAAGTTGTGTAGTTGCTGCTTCTCCGCTAAGCACGCAGCCTTAAGGAGTAAGAGCAAAATCTGGTCGGCTTGGAGTCAGAATAATGTGTCCGGGTATGGTGACATGTCTTCCTGCGGACTGTTACCATATGAACTAGAATGTTAAAAACACCGTCAGCGTGTCAGTCTAGTAGGGTTCATATTCATACCGCACTAACATGTTCTCGTCCTGAATATGCATTTAATTTGCCACTGGACGTTAAACAACAATCCATGATGATCCATACATCTTTTGTTTTGTTTAAAGTTTTATTTTCTTCCACTATAGTACATATTTCAGTTGGATGCAAGTACAGTGTAGACTTCTTTTTTATTTAGGGAAATGGTTCGACTATACCAGCAAAATGTTTAGATTTCTGTCCTCCTATACATCCTTCTCGAAAAAAAAACCCATTTAGACTTTCTTTTTAATTATGATACATGTATAAGCATTTGTTTGTGAAAAATAGCTTTTCTCAGTGATCTTTTCATTATGGCATTGAATTTTGAAATGCCGGATATCTGTACTTGGGTGTATGCCCATTTTAGGCAGCATGCATTTCCTTCTTTATTTCTGTTGATAATATATCAATTTAAAATAAAAAAAGAAAATAAATGCTTATTTGGATCGTAACATTGATAAGCAATCAATACATACTTATGGAGCACGTCAAATATAAGTGATTCTTATAGACAGAGACATATATATATACACATGTGTGTATATACGTCTCTGATAAAGAGCGATGTAAATTTTCTAAAAAAAAATCCATGCGTCTCCATTTGTCAACTAAACTTTGCCATAACACATGTTATGAGGGGGTGGACAGGGGAGTACCCTTCTTCCACCTCCCGCCCCTATCTCCCACCTCCCACTTTTAGAATCTTTTTTTCTCTCCCCCCTCCCACCTCCCTCAAAAGCTGTCCACCCCCTCTGTTATAGTAGTCTCAGTCGCATATGGGAAAAGCTATCGGCGAATTAGATTACGGGAAGACAATAATTCTATAGCAGTAAATTTCTGAAGATTTTGATAAGATAAATTTTACTAGAAAGTCCATCCATGCACACTAATTTTATAGCTGATACTACTATTTCACAGTCAAACTAAGCCGTCAAGTATATAAAAAACACATTACAACTTTTTTTTTATAAATTTGATGTTTCATATATGACTTTAATAACGTAATTTTATCACGTGATGTCTTGGCTGGTTAAGTCCGGACGTCTCTGAAAACACCCACAAGCTTGTCCGTGTTAAAAAAACTCGAATTGAAAGAGGAAGGCATTACAAATGATTCTCTACAATAAAAAAGTCACGTGACATAAATTGTTTGTTAGAAAACCTTTCATTGGTTAGATGCGTCAACATTTCTTTCGTTTTGTGTATTGGAAAGAAATCAACTCAGAGAATTTGTGTAAACATTCCAGTTTTCCGGGTTAATTTTACTTTATGAAGGAGAGGAGGCCTCAATATCTAAATATATGATTTATTTACGGGTAAGTAAAAGGTCAAACATCTTGTATATCTCACAACATTCGATATAATTTATGTGTGATGAGGTTGACATCTTGCAAAATATTTGCGACACATTTCACATGTTTCATCTCCACGGTAAACGGATTACCTCCATTAAAAGCGAAAACCCAAAAATATAAAATAAAGTGCAATAGAAGAGATAATCGCACGAATACAGAGCACGTCACTATTTAGTTGATTATTATGGAAGTCGATTCTGATTACCTTTGAAGAGGAAGAAGTTAATTAATTTACACCTGAAATTAATCATATTGATAAACCACATGTGTCAAGTCAATACCCTGTTTACAGTTTAAAGTTGTCACTGACATACATAGCTAGGGACTTAAAGATGGGTAGTTATATTTCATTGAGACAACAACAATAACATTAATGATTGAAATGATTTGATATAAAACATATTGTTGGTAGACAAGAGTTCGCAACCCACTATATTACATATAAATGACAAAATATTATATTTCGGTTCATTCCATGGGAATACCTATATGGAACTGTCCACTTTTGCATTCAGGTGGCAGAAAATCTCATCATCCCTATTTTTGCTAGTTTCCATTTCCACACACGTTGCATGTTATGTACACTGAAACTCTCATCATTACAGTGGTCAGTGTGTGATTTTTTTTGGGGTGGGAGAGTTGATCATATATTTTGAAGTTGTTTTTACATTGAAGAGCCTGTACATACCTTTTGAATCATTCAGCATGCTCTGAAATTTAAACTAAAAACGCAATAACCTTTTTGCACTTTTTTCCCCATCTGACATGCATCATGAGGTGATCAAAACTTCCTGTTTGATTGGAATTGTAACTTAACTAAAAAATATGATAAAATTGATTATATTTTATATTAAATAAAATTACTAACAAACAGTTTTTTTATTTGGATGATTTGATTTATCAACTTAATCACCAGTGGGTATTTCAATTTTAAGGCCAGGAAATATATCTTCTCAGATATTGAAAAATCTTTTGAGTCTATTTAGCATCTTCCAGGCTGTTCATTTTCCCATCCAGGTTCAAGTTTTGACATCCAATGTTCATTTTCTATTTTTCTATTTTATTTCTGTCACTAATTTCATCTTTTGTGTGTTGTACATTTGATATTCAATATGTTTTCCTTTATATGTAGCACTACAGCAGAACTAAAGAATAAGTAAAAAAAAAGAAAAGAAAAGATATATAGCAATTATGAATTAAGATTCAATGTGGAAACCTTTTGTTTTCCTATATACAAAAAATGAACATGTATATAGATTGCTTATTTTTAAAGAATATTTAAATTTGACCAGAGACTACATTTTGTACAACAAAATGTGTATTAAAATGTATTTAACAAATCAAAGTAAGGTAAATTTGATTAAATCAAAGAATCAAAGTTTATGAAACAATGCATTTTTACATTAAAAGCTTACCAGTCCTGGTATTTACTGGTAACTATGGAACATTCTAATATGTTTTGAATGCATATCTTTCACTTTTGGACTCATTATTGTTCTGTCAGACAAGTCCCTTATGTAGTATTCATTGTACGAATGGTCCGTCCCCTTCGCATTTGATTTTTGTATAAGTTAATGGTGTTAAACAAAATTGGGTTACCTCGGTGAATGTGCAGGTTAATCTTTGACTCCTGATTAAGATTGATGATTTATTTTTGGTGTTCATCATCACTCCAGCACTATTGGCTATATATTATATATTTATACACCCGTTTATGGGATGTATTATGGTATACCGTTGTCTCTCCGTCCATCGTCAACATGTCAGACAATAACTCAAAAACGCTGTAACCAATTTGCATGAAACTTTGGTGAATTGTTTATATCTATTGACTTTAGCTTCCTTTTGATTTTTAAATTTTAGATTCTATATTTCCGAGTTATTGGGTTTTATTCATTAAAAAAGGGGGATTTCCAAGTTTTCAGGCTATAACTCAAAAATGCTTTGAGCAGTTTTTCATGAAACTTTGATGAATTGTTTATATCTATTGAAATAGCTCCCTTTCGATTTTTAAAATTTTAGATTTTATGTTTCCTTGTTTATATGGGATTTTATTCTTAAAAAGTGGGGATTTTTCTAGTTTTTGGACAATAACTCAAAAGTGCTTTGAGCAGTTTTCATGAAACTTTGGTGACTGGTGGTTTATATCTATTAAGCTAACCTTCCTTTAATTTTTTATAAAGTTCTGATATGACATTGAGGAGTTATTAAACTTTATTCGTTGAAAAAGCGACGGGAGTATCATGCGCTCATGGCGCAGCTCTTTATTATTATAGAAGGAAGCTGGAGTGCCCAGAGAATCACTGCCCTCTGGCAGGAAAATCATGATTGAAGGGAAAAGGTTGTTTAAACTTATTAAAACATGTCAAACATAAATAAAGGGTTATTTTACTCAAGGTTTAAATAACAAGTTCTTGCTACCAAAAAAAGAATCCTCTGATTTTCATGTATGCCTGTGTAACAATGGTCAGGATATTTTATTTGTCCCTTGAAACAAGGGAAGTACATTGTATTTCTTTGTACAACCAAATTTTTCTCTTTAAACCATACAAGCATTATGGTCAATCCGAATTGTGGTGGTAAAGTGGCATTACTTGACTAACTTGAATTTAAACTTAAACTGTATATTGCATAGATCTACATTGTACAAGATCTACAGCCATGTAAGCTAATGTGACACATCTGCCTGTGTCATTACCTTAACTATTTTTATCAACTAGTCTAAGGTTTAACAAGATTTTATTTCAGGCTAAGGTGACAATTACGGACCCTAAAAATTCTTTCAAAAGAGAAGTTTTGGTTTAAGTCTTATGTTTAATTAATTACACCAGTTTTGAATGCACACAAAACTGTACACAATAATGTTGTATAAGGATGCATTATTACAGACCCAATAAGAAGTTAACTATGCATTGTATTTCACTTGAAAATGATGAAAATGGATACAAAAATAGAAAATGTTCTTTTACCAAGAATGACCAATATTTAATTTGCACTGTTCTTTTTGCTTAAATATCATGATAATGTGCCACACCTCTCTCATCGAAAGTTTATGACCCTGAGTGACTAAGTCCATCCTCCCCTCCCAAAAAATTCAAATACATGATTTTGCAGAGAGCACACTATGTGGTTTTCTTCATTCATGCTTCTTAATTCAGTAACACTAACCACCATGAATTTTTCCATTTGATAAACATCCAGAAAAAACAACAAATAAACATATTGTGTAATGCATGCCTTCTCCAGCAGGTTTTAATTAAACACTATGGCTGAATCAAAAACAACTAGAAACATGTATGTATCTAACTTGGCATTAAAGCAAGAAACTATTGGAATAGAAACTACTATTTTAAGCAAGCTTTATTATGTGCTAAACAAGAATTGGAGCACACACTATGATCAGAGTTAAAATTTGAGATTGATTGTTGGCAGTGACCATACTATAAATACAGAATTAGCTCTTTAAGATTTGATCCAAGATCAGAAGGTTATTCACACTAAGGCTAATATTTGAACAATCTTTAAGTCTGAATGAAAAGTTATGGAGTATGGTAATGTTTGGCATTTATTATTTAAACACAATAAGTATGGATTTATTTGGATATAGAAAATGTAGAATTGTAGGTATAAACAAACTATTAATATAGTACATATATTTTATTTTGTTCTTTACAATCACAGCATGTTTCAAAGGAAGTTTAAATACACAAGCCTTTCAAAGTTACCAGATAGAATTTTTTAGATTCATAAAGCATTCATGAATTCATTTGCATGAAAATGTACATATTTATCAATTATAGGAACTATTTGAATATGTACCTGGCATTATATTTGACCTATAGCAATGTGGAGTAAAGATAACTAGGTGTTATATAATTGTGTGTAATTCCTCTTGTCATACATATAAACTGTCACTAAAACATGCACAATGACAAATTAATGGGGTTCGTTTGATTTTACATCAATACATCTGCATATAAATGTCAGCTGAACGTAGAAACAAGAAATTTTCATTTATTTTGTCATTGAAAAATACTGTTAGACTTTTTTTTTACCATAAGCTGTTTTTTATAGTAGATATTTGTATAAAAACTGGTTGATCTTATCTACTCATAGTATTATTTAATGGAATATATAAAATATGTACATTTATTCTGTTGAGAATTCGATTATAAGGCATAAGCTCATTATTTCCCCATACATGTACATTTATGCATTTGAGAATTCTCTTATATTAAAGCATATATAAGCTTATGTAAATTCATTGTTTCATGTTCAATTATAAGAGACATACATAAAATTGAGAATGGAAATGGGGAATGTGTCAAAGAGACAACCCCCTAAAAAAAAGAGCAGAAAACCGCCCAAGGCCACCAATGGGTCTTCAAGACAGCGAGAAAATCATGCACCCGGAGGCGAGCCCCTGACCCCTAAACAAAAATGTACATTAATACAATCGAAAATTATTTCCCCCATACATGTACATATTCTCTTACAAGGCAAAAGTTCACTCTTTCCCCCATATATGTACATTTATACAATTGAAAGTTCTCTAATTATAAGGCAAATAAACTCATGTAAATTCATTATTTTATTTTCAAATATAAAAGTCTGCACATGTATTTTGCCTACTGATATAATGTAAACAAATGCTATGTATTCATGGTATTTAAGATCTAGATAACAATGGTATAATGTTCATGCTTCTGATCTTCTTTTCTCATTCAGTAGTTACACTAGATTTATAACCTAATTTAATCTAGGCTTAAGTTGTATCTTTAAATTGTAAGTAAATACAAGAGACTACTAAAACTATAAATGTCAAAAATCTGTGTTATGTCCTTCTCTCGGTCCTTCTGAGCCTAAATGTTATTCTTGTGTCCTTTTAACATTCAAAAATGATTAGAAACGTGTATAATCTTTATAGAAGCATATAATAACCTTTCTCACAATCGTCATTA